TTGTGGCAAAGCGTTTGAAGTTTCAAACTTTATCAAATTTAAAGTGAGCGTCCACATATAATTCCCTCTTTTAGTGGGATCACTGTTGTTATAGCACTACACCTGCAATCATTATTATCATACCTTTAAAGGTTTTTAATTTGAGCTCTCATTGAAAAAATATTCACTGTGTAAACATAGCAAGATATAGCACCTGTATAGATTGTTGTTTGTTTGATGTACTGTGTATTATTTTGGAAAGTAACAGCCCTTTTCTTTTCTGCCCAGAGTGAAGACTCAGATGAAGAAGATTTGTTTGCCATCAGTGACAAATGGACGTTTGAGTGGAGCAGCCGGAGATGGTCCAGGCTGCAGGACATTGATTGCTTCCTGGGTCACGTGGAGAGCCAGGGTTCGGGCGGGGGCGTGGCCCTGAGGAACACCCCCAGCAGTGAGAGCGTGCTGACGGACCTGAGCGAGCCGGAGGTCTCGTCCCTGCACAGCGAGAGCAGCGGGGGCAGCGGGCACCGCGCCCAGAGCGCCGAGGAGTCGGACTGCTCCCGCCGCGCCCACTCCGAGTCTGCCGCCATGCCTGACTCCACCTCCTTCGCCCTGCCGCAGGCGCCCAGGGAGGTGCCGCGCTTCGGCTCGCTGCCCGTCAAGAACGGCAGGCACGGCCGCACCCGCGCCAAGGACTTCCTGCGGCGCATGGAGACGCTGCGCTCCTGGGGCGCGGCGGGCGGGGGGGCCCCCCGCAGGGCGGTGGTCATCAGCGGGCCCGTCCTGCAGCAGGAGCCCCAGGCCCTCAAGACGCTCCGTTGCGTGGAGATCGTCAACGGCGAGCCGCCGGAGCCCGCCCCCGACCGCAGCCCCGCCTCCCAGTCCAGCAGCGAGGGCAGCAGCCAGTCCAGCAGCAGCTCGGTCAGCACGCCCAGCCTGAAGGAGCGCAGGCCGCACCGGGCGGACAGCAAGCGCGGCGGCATGTACCTGGAGGACGTGGACGTCCTGGGCGGCGGCCAGGGCCGCAACGTGGCCGAGCAAAACCGCCGCAACGAGTTCCGCTCTTACGAGGACCTGGTGGTGCACATCCCCAAGGACCACAAGCCGGGGACCTTCCCCAAAGCACTCTCCATCGAGAGCCTGTCGCCCACCAATGGCGCCTCCGTCAAGTGGCACGCCAGCAGCGTGTGCCTGGACCCCCGGGGCCAGCCCGGCGCCAAGGAGACGCGGGCCGTCAACCAGTGCTGCCCGCGGGGCAGCCGGATCAGCGTCTACGACAACGTGCCGGGCTCCCACCTGTACGCCAGCACGGGCGACCTCATGGACCTGGAGAAGGAGGACCTGTTCCCCCACCTGGATGACATCCTCCAGCACGTCAACGGCCTGCAGCAGATCGTGGACCACTGGTCCAGGAACGTGCTGCCGGAGGGGGAGGCGGTGGGGGAGGGCGAGGGGCTGACCCGTGGGCCCTCCGGACTGCAGTCCTCCAGCCAGATCACGCTGGACTTCGAGGGGAACTCCGTGCTGGAGGGGCAGACGACCCCCAGCGACGGGGACAGGGACGGGGTGTCCCTCAACGAGACGGACTCCAGTGGGATGAGGGAAAGGAGGGACTCGGGGGTGGGGGCGTCCCTCACCAGGCCAAATCGGTGAGATGATCATCTTAGATGTTTTATATATGTCTCTAGAGGCATATATCTTCTATATTTGTCTTTAGCCAGGTTGCACAAGTTAACTTGTGGTAGGGCTTGAATAGTGTTATGCTCACACTCACTGGTCTGGGAGTGTGGCCTGACACTCATCCACCTTGAATGTATACACTTCTGTTCTTTTGTACTGGAGCTGCTCTGGATAAGAGTGTCTGCTAAATGAATGTAATGTAATGTAATATCTTTGAAGCCTGTTGAAGTCATTTGCATGTTTTGAGTCTCTTATGTTACACAGTAACTAATTTATGACTTGTTTCCAAGACCAGTCTTGACACAGTGCTGGAGAGATGTTTCAAGTCTTTTGTGTTGCAGAGTTACTATTGCTAATATCCTCCACCACTTGTGTCCAAGACCAGCTCGACACAGTGCTAGATACACTCCAGACTGTAGACAAGAGCGCACAGAGCCCAGTTGAGGTGGATGGCCTGTTCTTGCTCATTGTCAGCTCATGATGAAAGGTCTCTGTCCTGACATCATCATCTCTGTTGCTTCCAGCCTGAGGTGGCCCAGCTTCCAGATCTCCAACCGCCTCAGCCACTCAGTGGCCTCCCTGCAGATCACCAACCAATCAGCCGCCCAGCTCAGCCTGCTGCAGAAGTTCTCCCTGCTGCGCCTCACCGCCATCATGGAGAAGTACTCCATGTCCAATAAGCATGGCTGGACCTGGTCAGTGAAACGGGGAAATGGGAAATGGTTCAGGGTTCGATGCAGGAGTGGGCTGTTTTGCTCAGGAGCTTAGCAGACCGGTAAAGCTTGTTGGATGGTCATTTTTTTAGGTCGGTGCCAAAGTTTATGAAAAGAAACAAGGTGCCAGACTACAAGGACAAGAACGTCTTTGGCGTCCCCCTGATCGTGCACGTGCAGCGCACGGGTCAGCCTCTGCCCCTCAGCCTGCAGCAGGCCCTACGCTACCTCAGGAGTCAGTGTCTGGACCAGGTCAGCTACCGTGTGTTTGTGTGTGTTGTGTGTGTGTGTGTGTGTGTGTGTGTGTGTGTGTGTGTGTGTGTGTGTGTGTGTGTGTGTGTGTGTGTGTGTGTGCGGGTCTGTGTGTGTGGGTCTGTGTGTGTGTGTGGGTGCGTGCTTGTGTGTGCGTGTGTGTGTGTGCGGGTCTGTGTGCGTATGTACTTGTTTTTGCATGTGCACATTGCTGTTATAACCTTCCAGCTGTGTAATATTATAATTCTCTGTGCATCAGAAGTGATGCTGTTTTGCTTTCACTGTGACACCCGCCTCACCAGAACACTGCAGTGCAACTTGAATCATATCCTTGTCCTAGTTGCTGGGAATTGGTGTTCTGGCTGTAGTGTTTTCCTGCTGGTACATTTCTGGACCCCGAGAGTACTGGTGTGCTGGATTGGTGTTGTAAAAGTGTCTTAAGGGAGACAGGGGGTAGAGAGAACACCAGCAGGGCAACTTGGCACTGATAAGTAGGGCACGCTACAGTCGTTTCGTGAGATGTGTACATTACAGTGAGAGAGCTAGAGATTAGCTGGAGGTTAGCCAGCAATCACAGCTGGTGAAGGAATTGGCCGGAAAAGAGGTTGCAGCTGCACAGATATAATTATATGCTGTGCTCTTCATCTGAGCAAAGCAATGCTCCAATCACAGCAATGACAATAGTAATAAAGGGTAATGATCATGTCATTGTACAGAGGGGAGGACTGCATTGTAAATATGAAAAAAAAAGACAGCAGATTAATGTGTTACTTCTGTCTGACATTTAAAGGCTTTCCGGTGTGGTGTAATGGTACCCCCTTTTTGCGGTCTCCAGGTGGGTCTTTTCCGGAAGTCTGGGGTGAAGTCTCGGATCCAGGCGCTGAGACAGATGAACGAGAACTCGCCGGATGATGTGAATTACGAGGACCAGTCTGCCTACGATGTGGCCGACATGGTGAAGCAGTTCTTCAGAGACCTGCCAGAGCCCCTGCTCACCAGCAAGCTGGGAGAGACCTTCCTGCACATCTACCAATGTGAGAGCACACACAGGGTCATATACACATGCACTCACATGCACACACTCATACACACACACACACACACACACACACTCATATACACACAAACGTACACATGCACAAAAACATCCGGCATGCGCACATGCACACTCACATACAGTATACATGCATGTACACACGCGTGCACACACACACACACTTATACACACACACTTTCATCTACATGCACACAAACACACGTAGTATATATGTATGTACGCTCACACACGCACACATTCATATGTTCACACACATGCATGCACACATATACAAACATTCATACACACGTGCACACACATAGTTGTGCGCATTCATACGTGCACATAGACACACAAACACGAGACAGTGCCTCATGGAATGTACTGTAACGTAACGTAATATTGCTCTTTAAGCAGGAGCATACATACATCATCACAACATCATTCCATTGCACTTACTCACTCAACACTTCCTTTAAATCCATGTTCTAATACTGGGGGCTATTTATCACTGCTTTTCACTTAAACCAACACCAGCATGACAATTAACTAGGATCCCTGTTAACTTACACTATGCTGAAAGAATGTAGTGAATGTAGATGTTGATGTACTTCTATCAGGTTACATCTTTTTTATACCATATCCTCCCATTCCAACCATAATAATGAGTCAAACCTCTCCTGTCCTCACCTTCCCTCACCTCTGTTTTCCCCCTCTCTCCCTCCTCCCTCATCTCTCCGTTTCCTCCCTGTTTTGCCTATTCTGTTCTCACTCTTTTTCTCCCTCCTCCGACCATCTGGCTTTTCCTTCTGCCTTCATTGTCCTCCTCTCTCTCTCTCTCTCTCTCTCTCTCTCTCTCTCTCTCTCTCTCTCTCTCTCTCTCCTGCCACAGACGTGCCGAAGGACCAGCGCTTGCAGGCGGTGCAGGCAGCCATCATGCTGATGGCGGACGAGAACAGGGAAGTGCTGCAGACTCTGCTCTGCTTCCTGAGTGATGTCACTTCCTCTGTGGAGGAGAACCAGATGACCCCCATGAACATTGCGGTGTGCCTGGCACCCTCGCTCTTCCATCTCAACATCCTGAAGAAGGACAACCTGTCGCCCAGGTAACCTGGCCCAGCGCACAAACCTTTTGCAGTGAAACGTGTAACAGGCCTCACGTGCTTCTCATTATTTATGCATTATTTGGGCATGAATCGTTATTATTATTTTTTTTTTTTTTGGCATTTGGCAGGCGTTCTTTTCCAGAGCAACTTACATAGGTTACAGTTTTATCCATTTATAAAGCTGGATATTTACTGAGGCACTTCTGGGGTGAAGTACCTTGTCCAAGGGTACAGCAGCAGTGCCCCAAAGGGGAATTGAACCAGTAACCTTTTGCTTATGAGCCAAGCCCCTTACCACTATACTACACTGCTACACTTTTGGCCCACAAAGCATTAGGCAATTTGGAATTGAGACCAAGCAATGCTTGCGCAGTTTCATGCACGATTTGCCAAATCGATGTCATGAAGCAAGGGTTCATCCGGGATCATATTTCTGTGCTAAGCACTCCAATCAGCTGTTCTCTATGCCGCAACAGTAACACAGTGCAGCTTTGGCCGTGAGCAGGTTCAGCCAGGCAACACTGAGAGAAAATAAAAGCCTGACCTCGGCTCCACCAGGCTGTCTTAATGTACCACTCAGTGTCATAAACACTTAAATGAAGCTCTATAAACGTGGTTCAAAGTAAGCTTTTAATTTGTCCCGGCCTGAGGGGGATATCAGAAAATGACACGCATGCTGTGCAGATATAGATGCACTGCACTGGTTTTTTATTGGTCCTGTCCCTTTAAGGTGCTCTCCATGAATGCACGGTTTAATGGGGACCATGCTGTGTACAAACAAACTCACCCCTGTCATTAAGCAGCCAATGAAGTCGCCTCTGCATTTTTTTTTGGGAGGGGGCTGAGGAGGGGAGAATCAAAGTGTCGCACACAGTCCTAAAGGCAGGTGGGAGGCAGGTTTTTACGAGCGCTGGATGTGTCTCTCAGGGGGTGAGAGGGTATATCTGTTCTGCTAATTCCAACCCCCTTCCCCCCTTCCCCACAGGGCCATGCAGAAGAAGTATGCCACCGGGAGGCCTGATCAAAAGGACCTGAATGAGAACCTGGCAGCCACCCAGGGGCTGGCCCACATGATCACCGAGTGCAACCGACTCTTTGAGGTGAGAGGACCTCCTGAGTCGGGAGGATGGAGGGAGGGAGATCAAGAAAGAAAGAAAGAAAGAGAGGAATATGTAGGTGTTACAAGTGGAGGTAATAACAGAATGAGAGGGAGAAAATAGGAGACAGAATGAGAGAGACAGAAAGTAACATGAGCCTTCCGTTAAGACATCTTTTTTCTTCAAAGAAGTAAAAACCAAAAATATAAACAGTGAAAAGGGGGAAAAAAGACAAAAAGAAAACAGTCCCAACACACAAAACATGAATGCAAAATGACAACAAATAAACATTTATTCACCTTAGAAGAATACGTCAGTACAAAAATCACGCCAGAAAAAATGTGAGCAGTTTACTCTCCTTCACAACAGAGTAAGCACTTTATTCTACCGATGGATCAAGGTGTAACCACACTGAATGGCTGCTGCTCCATGCGTGAATCACCACTGGAGATCACCCACCACTGTTCCCGAATGGCCTTTTTTAAAAGTGATTGCCACTTAACCCCAGGGGGTGCGTTTGCCCCTGAATAATCTAGCCATTTTGATTTCTTTAGGTCCTCTGCATTCACACATAGCCGTTTGGCAGATGCTGTTATCCAGAGAGACTGACAAAGCAGATGTACATAAGTGCATATAATAGGACCATATGCATAATAGTACACACAGAAAAAACAGACCACATTTAAACATGTGTCCATCACACAAAGCTGTAATCACCAATGTCATACTGAGCACGGAATAAGTGCTATAATATGTGCTTTCAGCAACTAAAATCCCAAAGACCTGAAATGCCCCACTTTAAGACAAATTGTGCGTCAGGCATTTTTATCAGTAGATTGGAACTCCCCCAGTTCTCTTCTGCTGCGGTGAGAGAAGGCAGCTCTTCATCTCTCTCCAGCTGCCAGCTGCAGTCTGGCTGGACCGCAGAAGATGAAACATCTGGCATTTTACCTCCTGGCAGCTCTTTGTCCTCCCAAGGGCAGGGGGAATCTCAGCAAGCAAAGCCCTGTGAAGAAGCCTCACTGATCCAATGGCAGAGGTTTCTGCAGTCTAGTCTTTCATCCCCTGCATTGCTGGTCTCTCCCAAATGAGCCGGCTCGGTCCGGCCCGCTGCTGCAGAGCAGAATGGCAGAGCTGAAAGGCCTCAGCCTGTGAGACTGGGCTCTGAAAGAGGGGTTGCTTAAACACTCTCTCTTTTGGTGTGTCCCCCCTCACACAGGGGGACCAAAAAGATCTGCCGTGCCTGGAGAGTGGATGTTTAAGAAGGCATTGTGCCAAATATGTTCACTGCATCAAGCTGCATCATTCTTTCACAAAGCAATGTCTTGGAGAGAGAGCAAAATGTAGACGATATGAGAGAAAGAGACAGAGGGAGGGGAAGTGAGAGAGGAAGGACTGCGAGGAAGGTGGTAGCATTGACCCCTTTGGCACTGTTTTCAAGATCTCACCTCTTGTCTCCTCTCGTGTGTGTCTGTGTGTGTTTGTGCGTGTGTCTGTGTGTGTCTGTGTGTCTCTCTGTGCGTGCGTGTGTGTGTGTGTGTGTATGTGTTTGCGTGTCTGTGTGTGTCTCTCTGTGTGTGTCTGTGTGTGTGTGCACCTCAGATCCCTCACGAGATGGTGACGCAGTCGCGGAACTCGTACGTGGACGCGGACCTGCACGCTCCCACGCTGGAGGAGCTGTGCAAGCAGCTAGAGGAAGACGACGGCTCCTACCACACCCACATGGACGGGCTGGTCCAGAACCTGCTGAAGGAGGCCCGTGACAAGTCCAAGGGCTGGGTGTCCTGCCCCAGCACCGACAACACAGAGCTCTCCTACAAGAAGGTGGGCAGAGGAGCTTAGATGTACACATACACCCACTGGTGCACACAGCTCCACTGTCTCTGAGAGTCTGCTGAATTCATTATATCACATTATTTATTTGCTCAGTTGGTGCCTTTTGTCCAGTGCGACTTGCCATACCCTATTCACAATATCGTCCTTTCATACTACTGCATATTTACTGAAGCAGTTTAGGTTAGGTGTCTTTCTCAAGGGTGCAACAGCACATGGGAAGTGAACCTGAAAGCTTTGGGTTACGAGCTCACATTCTTAAGTGCTATGCCACTCTGCCTTCCACAGTATTCAGTCCATTAACAGAAATGCAAAATGATGTGACATGAAAATGAAAGGGAAATTGTTGTGGATTCTATCTCTGGTCAGTACAGCATGGTCTGGCACACTAAAGTAAACCAGATGCCGTACTGACCAGAGTCATTGACCAGAGTCATTTGGATTCATGACTCTGGTCAGTCCAGCATCTGGTTTAGTTTTGTGTGCCACACCACACTGTACCAACCAGAGCCATTATCATGTTGTGTTTGGCACAGAAGCAGTGAGGGTTACCCAGAGCAGCTCAGTCATCCGTCACCTAATATGCCGTTTTGGCAAGACTTTCACCGGTAAAGTTCAGACACGCTCAGGCTCTGATCCCTACACCCTCCTCTCCCTGCTGCCTCTCCACCCAGGTGGGTGACGGGAACCCTCTCCGGCGCTGGCGGGTGTCGGTGGAGGTGGAGGCCCCGCCCTCGGTGGTGCTGAACCGGGTGCTCAGAGAGAGACACCTGTGGGACGTGGACCTGCTGCAGTGGAAGGTGATTGAGACCCTGGACAAGCAGACGGAGGTGTACCAGTACGTCCTAAACCGCATGCCCCCACACCCGAGCAGGGACTTTGTGGTGCTAAGGTGAGTGGAGCGAGAGAGAGGGGTTACAGCAAAGTCACCCAAAAAGTTTTATTCAAATTATTTATTCAGACGTGGGTAAAGTTAACCCTGCAAGCATGGATCTGTGACCTTCTAACTATGCCTACACTGAAAGCATCCTTTCTTTGTTCTCAGCCAGTTTCAGCCATACAAATGTCTCTTCTGAGAACTGCAAGTGTGTCCAAAAAATAAAGAAAAATGTCAAAATCAAACCAAATTGAAACTGATTCTCCGTATAGACACAGAGAAATATAAATAAGCTTCAGAATTCATGACTCACTGCACATAATAATGTGAACAAAAGTGACTACAACAGTAGCTTTGCTGCCGCCGCAGTAAGTCTGACATTTTTGTTCAGCCAGTCGGAACTTCAAAACAATATTTCTGTAACATCAGGCTTGTTTGATGCTTGCATAATATACCTTTGTATATTTTCATTGGTTGTTCGAGCATCTTTGCATGGTGGTATTATTGAATCTATTTCAGTGCAGTTAACCAGCCTGACCTCACAAATCAGAGATGACAGGGCAGAACAGTGCAGTGTGTGGAGTGAGCGTAAGAGCTAATGGTTCTGTCTGTCCCTGGCTCAGGTCGTGGAGGACGGACCTGCCCAAAGGCACGTGTGCGCTGGTGTCGGTCTCTGTGGACCATGAGGACTCTCCGCCCATGGGCGGAGTCCGGGCGGTGGTGCTGGAGTCTCAGTATCTGCTGGAGCCGTGTGGGTCGGGGAAGTCCCGCCTCACTCACATCTGCAGAGTGGACCTCAAGTGAGTGGTGCATGACCATGTACTGACTGCACTGCACTGTGTGTCCGCAATTTTACAGAGCTCTGGTACAGGAGAAACCTCCAATCATTTTTCAGCTAAGGCAAAGAAATGCTTTCATTTTTTCATTTCTCATTTTATTGTTTAAATGCATCTGTGCATGCGTGTGTGCATGTTCTTGTGCAGGCGTGTGTGCATTTGTATGTGTACACACGTGCGCGTATGTATGTGTAGATGTCCGTATGTGCGTCGAACTGACCCTTGTTGCGCCTTTTTCAGAGGAAGGACGCCTGAGTGGTACAACAAGGCCTTCGGTCACCTGTGTGCGGCCGAGGCCGCCAGAATCCGCAACTCCTTCCAGCCTCTGACCACAGAAGGCCCGGAAACCAAGATCTGAACCCGGAGCCGTCCTGCACGGAGACAGGGTGGAGAGCGTGGGGTGGGGAGGGGGGTTGTGGTCCGGGACCGGGCCCCCGGGACGGAGCTGCGGCGCGGGAGCAGAGCCCTGTGTGGATAGGCAGAGAGGGGGACCGCGTGAGACACCCCTCTCTTCCTGGGGCTGGACTGTATCCCCCCCCCGGGGGGACATAACTATCCTGCCGCAAACTCTTCGTTAGCTTTAGTGTTACTGTCGAAAAATGGATGCTATTATTATATTATTGTAATTATTATTTGGTTATCATTATTAATGTTATCATAGCCATTATT